ATATTTAAATAGGAGGTCGCACATAACAGCAGAGCACAATGGCTGGTGACTCTGAGAGAGGAGCACAGCAACCGCCCTGAACAGAATCCAGTTATCATAACAGTGTCAGACATACAGGAAAGAGTCTCATACATGAAAAATTGGACAGCACCAGGCCCAGACATGGTCCACACCTACTGGGTAAAGAAACTCACAGCAATCCATGAGCGCCTAGCAGCACATTTGCTTAGGGATGGGACTCACCCAGGATGGCTAACCGAAGGGCGAACGAACCTGATCATGAAGGATCCCTCAAAGGCTCCAGTCCCATCCAACTATCGGCCAATAACCTGTCCCTCCACAATATGGAAGCTCATGTCAGGCATCATTGTGGCTAAGATAAGTGGACACATGGATCAATACATGAGCGAAGCACAGAAGGGCATTGGTAGAGATACCTGAGGAGCCAAACATCACCTCCTGGTTTAGAGAACAGTCGCACAAGACTACATACCAACCTGTGCACAGCCTGGATTGATTACAAGAAAGCCTATGACTCACACATCTTGAAAAATAGTGGAAACAGCCCTGAAATACTCATCACTAATCTGTGCTGTAGAAGTTTGTCTGTCAATGGTCTAATGAACACAATGACTGAGATTGAGATCTGAGACTGTCACCTCTGCTGTTGTTGAATTTGATGCTCAGGGGTAGTTGAGTAGTTGAGGCCAGCATGTCATGTTTTGATGTTTGCTGAATGACCCTTTGCTGCTCCTCTTCTCCCATCATCTTCTTCTCTGGGGGTTCGCTGCTTTCCAGTTTGTCTCTTCGCTGCTCCAGAGTAGAAGCTTGAATAGCAGCTACAACTTGAGTCACTGCCATCGGCTGAGCCACAGTTGCTGCCTCGGTAGTCACAGATGTAATGTAATGGTCACTAGGAGACAAAGGGAGGACAACCCGACTGGACAGAGAGCTGGCCACCATGGAATCCTCTGGAAAAGAGAAGACAGTCTATGTTTGACTACCTGTAGATTATAATTAATGCAATTTTTATTTTTAGGGCAGTGGGTGCTCTGAGGTATCTATTGCTTCTGAAAAAATTATTACAGGGGCACGAGCAGCGACTGCTCAGAGGTCCCTGTTGTTTTTGTTGAAATTCTTCCTCTTCTTCTTCTTCTTCTACTTATTAGGGCTCGAGCAGCGAGCAAAGCGAGGTCCCTATTGTTTTTGTAGAAATTATGATAATTAATAGCAGCAAAGCAGTGACTGCTGTCAGGTTGCTATTGTTTTGTAAAAATAATAATAATAATAATAATAATAATAATAATGCTTGACGAGCCTATATTGTGTATGCATGTGACGTGACTGAAGGCCAAAGGTTGAAATGCACGGCCCGCCACTGATAGCGCCCATTGCCTTACGTACCTATACATACAGGAAATAAACACAACTTCAAAATAAAACAACTGCACATTCAATCAATGCATGAGGTAAAATAAAAATATATATTTATTTTGGAGGTTTCTTGACGCGGGCTGGTCAGAGTCAACCAAAGGGCCGCATGCGGCCCGCGGGCCGTAAAATTCCCAGGTCTGACAAAAGTGGAATCTCTTCCTTTGGCCATCTTATTATTCCTGCAGGATATCTGATCACTGGCAGGGCATATCTGTTTATTGCCCGGGTCTTGTTCTTGCCATTGAGCTGGCCTCTTAGGACTTGCCTTACCCGCTGGAGGTATTTGGCCTTCGCCGCTTTGTTGCCAGTTCGAGGTTGCCATTGGCTTGTGGTACACCGAGGTACTTGTCGCTGTCCTCAATGTCTGCTATTGTTCCTTCAGTGAGTGAAACCCCTTCAGTGTGGACTACCTTACCTCTCTTAGTCACCATCCGACTCCACTGACGAAACCTATGCCAAGATCCACTCTCCCCTCACCTACCCCTGCCTGCCCACTTCACTCCCTTTTTCTTCCGACCAGCCTGATTATTGACGACTCCATAACTCAAAACCTCCGAAACCGCTTCCTCTGAGCCACTGTTCCCATCATCCTCGCAAAACTCCCCAGCCTGCTTCATCCACTCCCACCATCTGTCCATAGAATTATTGTACATGTTGGCTGCGTTGATGCATCCCACCGGCAGTCAGAAATCACCAAATGTCACTTCAACAAACTTCTTCAGTTCCTTAACTCGACCGGCAAATCAATTTTCATTAGCGGCCCACTCTCTCCGCACCGTGGCATGGGCATTTTCAGCCGCATTCTTAGCCTCCACACCTGGCTGCAAACTGCCTGCAGGACACACAATGTGGGCTTCATTGACAATTTTAATATATTTTGGCGCCGTCCATCCCTTTTAAAGGCGGACGGTTTTCACCCCAACAAACTAGGCAGCAGAATACTGGCAGCAAATATCCAGCATGCTGTCCACCACTCCACAAGCTGACTAGTCACAAATCACACACCTGCACCTTACCCTTCCTCCACTCGACCAACATACGGCACTTCAGCTTGCCATAGTCCCCCCTACAGGCCCCAGTTGTCACTGTCTCATCCTGCTGCCATCTACCCCATTCAATCCATCATCACAGCCAGACACCCTCACAACTATAATAACAAGAGAAAATATTTTAAAATGTCAAATACCAATCTCCGCCCACTCCCCCAATCCTCACTGTCACCCACACACCACAAAATCCTCAAACTGGCTCTATTTAACACCCGCTCACTCAACAACAAAGCACTCGTCTTCCACGAATTCATAACTGACTATAACCTGGACTTCCTCTTTATCACCGAAACCTGGCACAAACACCTGGACTACTTCTCACTCATCCAAGCCACCCCACCTGGTTACACCTACATCGACATGCCCTGCCTCACCAGCCGAGGTGGTGGGGTGGCATCAGTCCATAAAACAGAGTTTAAAATCAGCACTATATCCACCTCACCCACTGAGTCCTTTGAACATATCCCCTTCAAATTCCCTGGTCCCTCCCCACTTGGTCTTTTCCACCAGTCTCACCATTGAAAAACTCTCTAGCACCAACCTCAACTTATTAGGGCTCGAGCAGCGAGCAAAGCGAGGTCCCTATTGTTTTTGTAGAAATGATGATAATTAATAGCAGCAAAGCAGTGACTGCTGTCAGGTTGCTATTGTTTTGTAATAATAATAATAATAATAATAATAATAATAATGTGGAAGCCCCCTCCCTCATCCCGTTGTTGCAAAATGCATGATGTTATATTATTCCTGCTTAATATGATCATTACACTACAGTATTCATTATACTCTACTGATTTGGTTTAGCAGTGTTAACATTTTGTATGGTCTATTTAGGTATGCTGTGCTTTTGATGATGAGCTGTGTTGGATTACTGCCAAACATTGTTTTGGAATTATGGTCAAGAAGTTTCACAACCTTGGTTTCGTCAGACTATAGCACAGCCACCTTACGCTGTGTTTTCTATGCTATTGCTATTTATTATTTATTATTTTCTACAAATATTTTGCGCATGCTTTATTTATATTGCCCAGGTCCATGTCCAGCTCCACCCCCGACGAGCCTGTGTCCAGGTCCCTGGTTCAGCGCAGCAGGAAAGACACATAAACCAAACAATCCCCACAGTCCAATATCCAGCTGAGAAACACCTTTGACATCCTCAATCTCCGTGACTTCCCTCCTCTTGCTGGAGTGCCGACAACTTCTTCACCATCCACCACACAGTCCAAAATGAATCCCTCCCCTCGGATCCCTTCAGAAAATCCTGTCCACCCCTTCTCCTCCATTGCTCACCGCTTCTCTATCCCTCAGTTCACTCCGGCCCCGCAGCGCACTGTCCCTGGTCTCCTCCCGCGCACTTCCCCCCCCCCTGCCTGCCCACTGCGCCCCCTTTTTCCTCCGACTACCTTGATTGTTGGCGACTCCATAACTCGAAACCTCCGATTCTTCAACACAACAACACACTGCTTCCCCGGAGCCACTGTTCCCATCATCCTTGCAAAACTCCCCAGCCTGCTTCATCCACTACCAC